TAGTTCAGGATCATCCAAGGCAGAAAAATTAGTGAGACCCCTTCTCAACCTACAGTTTAATGCAGTAGGATATACCTGTCATACAAAAAAAATACATAGGAGATTAAGACTGGGAGAGTTATGTTGCCAAGCCAAGCCAGGCAGATTCCACAAGATTCTATCCATAGAAAGGAATCTAGACAGGGTGATATGTACCTGTGACCCTAGAAATACTATAAAACCTACAGTAAGCAGGTGCACAAATGGTGGGAAGTGAGATCTGTCCTAAAAATAACCAGTGAAAAACAGGACAATAGGTTTGGCTCAGAATAATCATGCAAATCTAGCAAGCGCAAAACCCTGAGTTCAAGCCCCAGAATACCACCAAAAATAAAATGATAAAATGGAAAATAAAGTAATCAAGGCAAAAATAAAAAGGGCTGGAGCACTAGAGCACTTGCCTAGCAAGCATGAGTCCTTGAGTTCAAACCCTAGTACCCCTTAAAAACAGATACATGTGTACTCACATGTAAATTATGTAAAATCTACTTTACATAATTGATATGTTTATGAAATGTGGCATAATTTTTTTATCAAGTCATTTAAACGAATGACAAGAGGTGATATTTGGTGATCATACCATGTGTAGCATCACCTGAAATAGTAATAAGAAATATTACTTATTTCCTATTTGTTAAGGTTTTAAATGTAGACGCATAAATAGGATATGTGCTTATAAATAATAGGTAATAATTTCTAGCTGGTTTTTATTATCTGGACCATGCTATTGGTTTTCACACATTATTGAATGAATGAGTGGATGAGTGGATGGTATAGATTCTAATTCTCTATAAGCTGAGAAAAAAGTCTCTAGGTCTTTGTGGCCTACAGCTACAAAGGAATACCTAAAACTGGATATTCAGAGGGATTTATGCTTGCTTAAGTGAAGGACGAGGTTAAACAGGGACAGAGTATAGTCAAGGGATAATGAACCTGATGGCTTAAGTGGAAGAGTGCTCTAAACTAGAGTAAGTTAAGACAAGGAATTTTGGATGGTATCTTATTATCTATAAATTCCTCTGTCAGAAATCAGTTTCAGGGAAAGGACTATTTTTCCTTTTCCTTTGCACAGAATCTAGCACATAAGATAGGATCAGTGTTGTTGCCTGGTAGTGAACAACTTTAAAACATAGATCTAAGATTCTATTTAGGCCATGAAAAATTGATGTCAAAAAGTCAGATGTATTTGAAGAATGTGAGATGCAATAGAGGAGAATCAAATACAGTTTGGGTGCTCTTGCAGATGGGAGGAGGCTGAGAGAGAAAATAAAGTGGGTGGGTTTGTTTGGGAATGGGAAAAAAGTGATGATTTTAGAGGTACTATGAGAAATGAATAGTTGAGAATTAGATTTCCCTTTTATTCCATCTGAAGTCAGTTTCCTTAAAAGCAGAAACATTTTTTTTGTTTAAGAGACTTATCCAGGGTGTAACAGTCTCAGGTGAAACATGTAGGCAGGCAAAAGAAGAAGCACGGAATAGGGGAAGAAGTATGGCCAAGCCATGTGGTCAGGTGACATCTAGTCCCAGTGAACTATGAAATACACAACAGAGTGGCCCCTCCTTGAAGTAGAAAGACTGCCCTGAAGTCAGTCACTGGCCATGGGCTCTCACCGTTGTTAGAAGAGGATAGGTAAAAACCTGAAGATATTTCCTGGCTAGGTTCCTTTCTGCCAAGGTCAATTCTCAGGAAAAGGGTGCAGCTGTGAAATGGCAGCAGCCAAGACTCACAGCAGCTGGAGTTTGGGGGTATGCTTGCCTGCTAGAAAGGCACCTTGTCGGGGTACCAACTGTTGTTACTAAACTCTACTCTAGTCTCTTCAAATAGCATCATGCCAAGAATCTTCTAACAGCTTTCCAACACATCCCAAATAACATATAAAACCTTTACCTTGACCTACACAATCTGGCCTCTTTCTGCCTTTGGCTTTATCCACATGAACTCTCAGAACTTTTTCTTTTATAAAGATGCCAAGTTCATTCTTCACTACAGATGTCTGGTATTTGGTTTTTATTCTGCTTGAAATACTCTCCCCCCACAGATTATCACAGCAAACTTCTTGTGTAGGCTTTGATTTCAGATGCCGCCTCTTCAGAGAGGCCTTCCACTTTTTGTCCTTAAGAGATTGAGAGATGTTCATGGTGCTCTGTCCTCTTGATAGCTGTTACTAAGGTGCATTGGTGAATGGACAACCAATAAATATAATTGAAGGAATAAGCAGTTAGAGAGACAACTGTGAAAGTAGAAAAACTGACAGAAATGAGAACTGTATGAAGTATACACCAATGTATGCAGAAAGATGTGAAATTTTGGCTGCAGACATAGTTAATTTGAGATAGTACAGAAGACATACGATAGTGGCAGAGTGTACTGAATTGAGTAAATATCCAAGCCTTATCACATATTACCTGCAAGTTAACTTACTACTCAGTACCTCAGTTTCTTGCCCTACAAAGGAATATAATATTACCTCTATCATGAAGTGATTGAGAGGACTGAATGAATTAATAACTACACATCACATAAGATAATGTCTGGCTAACAGGAAGCCTTGTTTTCAAATGGAACTTATGGAGCTCTGCATATGGAGGAGATATTTTCAATGCTGGCCGGGGACTAGGGTTACAAGAGTGAATCTCATAGAAAACATTTGAGGAGCTGATCTCTCAGGGTTGTGTGAGGGCTCTGAGCATACTTTCTGGAATTTGGCCTTCTTGGCTGAAGTAATCAAAGGGAAACCCTTCCATACTTAGAACTCTAAGTCTGGATCTAAGACCTCTTTTCTTTGGCCTTGGTGGAAGGGGTTCCTTGTGCTCATCTCTGATTTGACTCACTGTCTTCCATTGCTTCTCAGTGTCCACTTCACATATGTAGCCAGGTTCTCAGAGACACAGTCCAGTAGATTCTGTTTTTCTGGTTGAATTCGGACTAATGTAACAATTAGGAGCTCCAGAGCTCCTAATAAACTGTAGGATTTTAGGAAGTAGGGGAAGAAGTTACTATTTACATCTATGTACTAAAGCCTGGTAGAAACTTTGTAGATGAGAAATCTAAGATTCAGGGATGGACACTTAATCTAATACCATTAAGAAATGGATCTGGGATTCAAACCTAGTTTGAATGCAGAATTTACACTTTTCCCACTATGCAAAGCTTTCTGAAGGCATCCAGATAGTGAGGAAACTCTCCTTAACCCACAATACTTCATTAGTTTTATTCTTTCATTGAGAAATGTAACTTTTTTAATTTTTCAGAGAGACAGACCTCTTTCTATTTGTTTATTGAGATGAAGTCAATATAACAAAATTAGTTGTTTTAAAGTGAACATTTTAGTAGTATTTACACATTCACAAGATTTTACAACCACCTCTGTCTGGCTGTAAACCATTTCCATAATTCTCTAAACTATTTACCCTTTAAGTTTCTCTCTACTTCCCTCTCCCATATCCTTAGGCAAACATCAGTCTACATTCTATCTCCTTGAGTTTATTTATTCTGAAAATTTTGTATAAATGGAATTATACCACATGTCACTTTTTATGTATGGCTTGTTTTTCACGTAGTAATGGCTTTTTGAAGTTCCTCTACATTGTAGCACATATCAGTATTTTATTCCTACTAATGGCCGAATAATATTTCATCATAAATATATAACAATTTGTTTATCCTTTTATACATTGATATGCATTTGATTTCCACTTTTTGGCCACTGTGAATAGGGATGCTATGAGCATGTACACATATTTGAGTACTTGTTTTCTTTTTTATATATTAGTGAAGCCATTAATAGCTAATATTTTTAATTCTAATTCAATAGAAACCAGAATCACTTGAAGTTGTGAAATGAAAAATGTATTAATTTATTTCAATGTTTTTTCTTTTTATGAAATTAAATTCTGCAAGTGTGTGTGAGAGAGATGTAAATGTTATTTAAAATTAATATAGGCATTCTGAGACTTGAAGTTTATTAACTACTAGTTTTTGTGTGTGTCAATATTAGCCAACTTCTATGTAAAGTACTAGTTCTAGGTCAAAGAGATTATTTTTTAAGGTGGTCATCAACAGAATGGGGTTATTTCAGTTGATCAAACAAGTAAATGCAGCTATTTTCAGGTTTTGTAAATAAAACTGTCTCATTAGGACAATAAAGAACAGATGTAAGAGAAATCTTTGTTTCTTTGTATGTAAAAATGATCTAAATAAAGTAGCTCAGGTGAAAATTATGAAATGAAACCTTGAAAAGTAAGGAATACTGACAGCAACTTTGTATGCACTGATCAGTGCTTCTGTTCTTACCCCTGTATTTTCGAAGTGATACATAGTAATTTATTTGCATTCCCATTTATATTAGTGGGAATTTGGAAGTTAAATTCTAGCATATATCCTTGGAAATGTGTAGGTCAAAGTAAGCTGTAAATGAAAACCTTTTTCATTTTCAGTGACAGAGTTTGAATCTTAGAAAAGTACTTTCTAGGTCATTCTAATTACAGGAAAGCTACAATGTAAAGTTACTGTTTGAAGGTCATCTACTTTAAAGCAGCATAGAAAAGAGATCATATTAAAAAGAGAGTTTTCACAAGAGTTCAGGACCCACATTGTTGTATAGTAAGCGAAGAACCTGGGACCTTGCAATGGAGCCTTGCAGCTGGGTGTGAGTGATCAGTGATCAAGGCATGCTAAGGTGAATTTTAATTAGGACTAAATTGTGGTATTACTCTTTCATACCCTGAACATCTGTTCCCTTCAGAAATGATGATTTATGCAGGCTATCAGAGCAGACAGCTTGCAAAAGCTTATGTCACGGTTAGTGGGAAGCTGGTGGTAGCATTTCAGAGAACCAGCATCGAAGTGGATACTGGCCAGTATATGGGGTATAGGTAACAGGGGGGTATGAAAGTGTGATGAGTCCACTGTTAATTTTGAAGCCAAATATTGACTTGATTTTTAAAAAATTATCTTCCAGACCATCTGTTGTTAATGAAGAAAGTAACTTGGACAATGAAGGGGCTGATGCTTCCCACTGATGTCAAAAGACAGAAAACCAAGCCTGTTCTTTCTGTTAGAATGAATAAGCTCACTCAGAAGACTGCAGTCCGAATTCTGGTCTTTAAGAATGGCATAGGGCAGGATGGGCAATCGATTACAGTGAGAAAGGAGACAATGAGAAAGGTAATATTCTGTGGTATATTGAAATCCGAATCAAATTTCAAAATGTTGATGGCTTTTGAAATGTTATTTTTTCCCTTTTAAATAGCAATATCAACTAACAAACTCAAAAATTAAGAAAGTATTACAACATATAACTTAAACACTTACCTGTTTAGAAGTGTGTTTTTTCAACTACCAGCATGAATTATCTCAGCAAAGAAATGATGTTTGTTTGGTCACCACAGAAGCCCATTTCCCTAGAAAAAAGTTACATTTGCATAGAAGGAAGTTTCTAGATGCTTAAATATCTTGTACAATGTTTCCATTGAAGTCACTTTAAACCAAATTCAGAATCTCAAAACTGCCTCTTTTTATTTCTAATAAAATACTTTAAACCATATTTGTTTTATGAAATTATAAGCCAAGTTGGAAATAACAAAAAAATTGTTCAAAAATACTCAAGTAAATATAAAAATGTATCTGGATAGGCCTAAGATTATGTAAAAATCAAGAATATTTTAATAAAACCAAACTTGAAGTATTACTTATAAATACAAGCAATATGCTTTTAGAAGGGGCTACACTTTCTGTGGCATGTTACATAGATATTCAAAACTATGGAAGAACTGGTAGAAACCTGGAAAAAAATTATAAGTCAGGATTTTCTGATCAATCTTGAAGCTGTTTAGAAATAATAATAAGACCTCTAATTTGGCGAGGGGAAGGGAAAAAACAAAATGCTTAAATAAGGATACAGGTTAGCTCATTGTAACAATGAGATGTACAAGACACTATGTTGAAAACAAACTTTACAACTTCAGGAGGGAGGGTGTAGTTGTGGAGGTGGGATGGAAGGGATGGTAGGGGAAAAACAAAGGAGAGGTAACAATGCTTGATAGGAAATGTACTCATTACCTTGCTCATATAACTGTAACCCCTCTGTACAGTATTTTTACAATAAAAATGTACAAAAAGAAGAAGAAAAAAATAAGTCACTAAAATTTGTTAAGAATGTACTACAGAAATAGTAAAACAACCAACCAGTGTAGACTTGTGCTCTGGCTCACTACTTACTAGTTATAAGGCCGTGGACGGTTTAGTTTCACAAAGTTCCATGAGGATTCCACTAGTAGTATACACCTGGCACTCAGAAAGATATTTTTAAAGAAATTTTATGTTCTTCAGGAATCATAAATATACATATAATAATATTCTTTGACTAAGAGTTAACAATTATTATGTTTGTACTAACAGTAAACAATTATTAAGAACATGAGGTAAATGCATATAAGGTTCTACACCAGAATATTGCAATTTGAATATTGTGAGGTGAATAATTATCTAGACATTATAAAAAATTTTAATAAAATAACACTAGTTTCATAACTTGTCATGTTTTTGTGTGATTGTTTATAACCACAGGCTGTTAAGAATGTTACAAAAGAAGTACAAAACCTAAGTTTTATTTCCTTCTTATCTGCAGATTGGGATGGTGAGAACAAGAAGGGATATTACACAGCACAGAAAATTGCTAAGCCTGTTGTAGCATCTTCTTCCTTAGGGATTTTGAAAAATAGAAACGAAGGGCATATCTCGGACTGTTAAAATGCAGTCATTCTTAGAGAAAGATACTAGAATAAATAACCTCTTGAGCTCACTTCAGTTCAATCTCTGTAATTCTATGCTTTAGTGTTAAAATTGGAGCAATAGTCATTCTGACAGATTACAGTTCTTAGCTGAAAGGTTAGTATAAATAGAAATGTCACTGCTGTTTTGAATTTTGTCTCAAGACAGCAATTTATTTGAAACTCTATGATCAAGGAAGTTTTCAACTTCTTTATTTTCCTTGTATAGATTGTAGAATTTTAGGATTTTTCTTAATTCATAAAACTTATAATAATACATAATTCAGTAATTATTTGTAGGTACTTATGTAAATATCATTTTCAACAGTAATTTAAAGGAGGGAAGCAACAAAAATTTAGAGGGGAAGAATGATGCTAGCTATTCATTTTGCAAATACAATTTTATTTTTGAAAACACTTTTAATGATGGGATAATATACTATTTATAGATTACTATTGCCCATTACTATTTACCTATTTATAGGTTACTTATTGCCAAATAAGTAATAGAAATAAGAATCTGGCTTATTCATAAGAAAAACACTGTTCTCTTGCATGATATAATATTAGGAATATTAGCTATTTTTGGATTGATACTAAGTATTATAAAAGCACAGTTGACTGTATGGAAGTCGAATATGGTGGAAATTATTGCAGTTGGATGAAAGCAAAAAAAATTACTGGGGATGGGTGGTAAAATAGCTCAGTCAAAGCTGAAAAGTCCTCTGGAATGTCAGAATGAAGCCAAAGAGAAAAAAAAACTATTTTAATCATAAATGGAGAATCAGAAGAAAGCCTACTCTCACCTCAGGAGAGTAAGTTCTTAAGAACTTTAAATGAAGCCCAGAATGAGATTTCATCAATATGACTCTGGAACTATTGAATATCCATTTAAAACTTGAATCTGATAGTTTTAGATGTATACTACAGCTTTTAGTAAGCACACATAGGATTGTTTGCTTCTGTAGGGTGCCTATGAAATGCATGTATTCATGGGCTACAAAAGGATTTAAGAAAAAATTGTGGACATTATGTACCAAGATAATGGAAAATGCAAAGCTGCAGAGTCCTAATAAGGTTAGCATCATGGTGGATGCATTGTATTCTTTCCTCATTATCTCTTGGGTTCAGTGACAAACTGGTGTTAAGTTGTATGAATAATACCCAGAATAGCATTTCTCTTATGAACCATGTTTATTTTTCCCAGAAATATTAAATTATGTTTTACTTGCTTTTTGCTTAGTTTTTTTGTATATTGCCACTGCTACTATGAAATTGCACTGGTGAAGAGAATAATGAAAAAGATAATAAAATGAATGAAACAATAATAAAACCCACTTTTTGCTCAAGTTTGAGATACTTCTTTCTAGCCATATATATATATATATGTATATATATATATATATAATGAATTATCTATATGACTATCAAGGTATAAATAAGCAATAGACTTTGTTAGATATAGTTAAACCAAAGGAAAATCCAGGCTTCTACAATTTTTTAAATCACTTGTTTATTTGAAAAATAACTAAATAAGGCTAAGCAGACATAAAACATAAAAGTTTAAGGCCTAATTCAACTGAAAAAAAAATGTGATTGTAAACTCTTTACACATAAAAACTAGTAACTACCTGTTTTTGATTTCCTGATAATCAAAATGCTTTTGGGAACATTTTAAAAAGATTCTAAAGGGAGCACCTGGAGAACACAATTTGATTAAGGAAGCTGACGATGAATTCCGACAAGGGAGGTCACTCACACATAATTAGTATATTGGAACTTCTTTAAGACCTTTACATGAAATATGAAGGAAATTTTGGCAATAGTGATAATTTAAAAATTAGAATGACTTTTTATGGCACAGATTAAAATCTGATTAAAAACAGGCAAGCATGTTTTTAAATAAAGGATCTTATAATATAGTTTATTCTCAAGAGGCAGCAACTAGCCAATTGTCTTATTTAACATGAAATTTGCAGTTTATATTTTTGAAGTATTTTAGAATATTTCAAGTAATTATTTATTAATCAGATTTTTTCTTGACTGTAATTCTAAGAAAAACAGAAATGTGAATTTTGTCAATAGAAATAAAACTGAATGAGAATTTTCAGTTTAAAGATGTATTCATTTTACCAATGATAGCTAAGGCAAGTCCTTAGAGTCTTTAACATTTTATTTAGGGACAGTGGAGGCATAAATGTAATATTAAATTTGAACTGGTAGATTTATTTCTGTGCTATTAATATTGTTTTTACATTTTACATGTACATTAATATGTTGCATGCATTTTAATTTCTGAGAACATTAACATAAAATTAATAGTTAAACTGAAGGACTTATTAGATTAGTCTCTGTATTTACCTTATCACTAAAGTGATGAGTTTTGACTAGTTTTATCTATTTTCTGGACATTAAAATCATATAATTTAAAGAAATCATTTATTTAAGAGTTCTCAGAAAACATATTTCAGAAAAAGTGGGTCAATTGGAACAACTAGGACTAGAACTTATTTTATAACTTCAGGAGCAATTTTTTTCAATATTTGAAATTACCATAAATACATACCCTCTTACATCTCAATTTCAAGTGTGTGTATGTTTAAAAATGATTTTACATAAGTATTAAAAATGAAGACATGAGACATTTGTTTTCAGTCATACAGAGCTTCTGGTATCAAATGTTAAACAAATGAAAAACTAAACAAAAGATGAGATAATACTTTCAGATGTTATGTTAGAGAAAGTACCAGAGGTAATGCCTGGTAGATGCAGAAAACTAAATTGAATCCTACAATTTATCCTACCTTCCTACCTGGAGGCAATTTTAGACAGTAATTAGTAAAGGAACCCTTACACCTACCCCCAAATAAAAAAGCACAGTATCTCCATAAGTCGCTGAATTGGCTGGAAATTTGCAAGACAACACTACAAAACAGGGATCTGTTCAGAGAATATTTTCCAAAACAATCATAGGTGTCTCCATATTTCTTTAGGAACAACTCCCCCAAAGCCTGACATAAACAATTACCAAGGAAATAACAACTAATAAGATGTAAAATGTGAATATGTAATGTAATGTACATAGTAATGTAATGGGAGTATGTACAAGGTGGAGAGATGTTTTGCATTATGACTAGTTGGAGAGGAGGGGCTTTATTAAATCCATAGGACATTCATGAAATCTTCAAATAGGTAACCTATATCCAGAAGAAAAGTCAGTCAATGAAATAAAGTTAAGATACTAAGTATTCTCTTTGGTTAACTGTTGTTAAATGAAAACACTTAAAACTATTTATAAATATAATGTGACTGAACACTTAAAACTATTATAAAAATAAAATGAAGATAAATGGAAACTAAAGTAGAACACAAGAAATTTATAGATTTGAAAAACAT